CCCCCCGCCCCCAAGACTCCAAGCTTCAAGGCCCAGCCTCCTCCCTTAGATTTAGGATCTAGGGCCAGGGCTCTGCATCTTTCTCTTGCAGACGGCAATCCTCTCATTCTTTCTCCCTCTACATCCCTTTCAGAGTTTCAGTATTGAGCCCAAGGCTGAGTCACAGGAAACCTCGGGCCCTGAGTCACTCCCGGGGCGAGAGAGGCAGAAAATGAAGCTCTTTCAACTGCTCATGGCTTCAGTGGAGAGTCTGCTGTCTGTCTGGCACGACCGTCAGTCAGTGCTGCCCACAGGCGCGTCTCCCACAGCCACCCTTTCCAGGTATCTCTTATTTTCAGTATATTTGGAGACAAAATTTCTGTCTAATGTCCACGTCTGGATTTCAGATTTTGCTTTCTCTTCACTTCTGTGTGTCTTTTCTATCTCTTTAATTTTGTTGTGTTTTGTTTTTCTTGTGCTAAAGATAGGTCCCTCTGAGCCACACCCTCAGCCCCTCACTGGGGGGATCCTAGGCAGGGGCTCTATCACTGAGCCACACCCCAGCCCCTCACTGGGGGATCTTAGGCAGGGATTCTACCACTGAGCCACACCCCAGCCCCTCACTGGGGGATTCTAGGCAGGGATTCTACCACTGAGCCACACCCTCAGCCCCTCACTGGGGGATCTTAGGCAGGGGCTCTATCACTGAGCCATGCCACAGCCCTTTTTCACCTTTGCATTCAAAACCTCTGTTGAGGTTCAGTTTCTGTTTTGTATTTTTTTCTTTTTTGAGACAGGATGTCACTACACATCCTAATTAGACTCAACCACTTCATCACCAGCCTCGGGCCCTAGATTACTGGAATTATGTATGTTTGATCGTCCTGGATCCTCTGTGATTCCTCAAGCTCTGTTCCTCTGCCCCTCTTCCTCCCCCCACCCCTCCCCCACGTCTGTCTGTCTGTGTACATTTCTCAGAAACCCCTGAACTGGGGCCCCGTAGCTGTGCAGCTGTGGCTTGAGCTGCCCTTGGCTTTGGACGTCTTAGCGGCCCAGTCCCTGCACATGGCTATCAGCCCCTCCAAAGGGTTAAGATGGAAGCGGAAGTGACCTGCTATCCACAGCTATGCCAGGGATGCGGACTGAGGAAGGGATGGGGAAGCAGGAGAGCTACAGAGAGAGCTGGAGATGTGGAGCTCAGAGACAGCGAGAATGAGCCTGGAGAGAGCCGAGACAACAAACAATGGTGACTCCAGAAGGAGAAAGGCAAAGAGAGACAGAAGGAGAGAGAATGAAGCAGACAGAGGCGACACACACGGCACACAAAGACAAAAAGGACGAAAGAGGCATAGACAGAGAGACAAGGACGAGAGACGTGGAAGCAGAAAGGACGTTGAGGCTCGGGGCACACACGAAGAGATAGACTGACAGAGAAGCCTTAGGAGAGAGACAAAGACTAGAAAGATGAGGGTATAAAGGTAGAGCTAAGGGTGTGGCTCAGGGGTAGAGCCCCTGCCTAGAATCCCCCAGTGAGGGACTGGGGTGTGGCTCAGTGGTAGAGCTTCTGCCTAGAATCCCTCAGTAAGGGGCCCCAGTATAGCCCAGGGGTGAGCCCATGCCGAACACACAGACTATCCTGAGCTCCAATCCGGAACACAAGAAAAGAAAAGAAAAGAAAAGAAAAGAAAAGAAAAGAAAAGAAAAGAAAAGAAAAGAAAAGAAAAAACCATGAAGGCTTAGGATGAGGGAGACAGTGAGATAGGAGTTGTATGCAAGGCCCATGGACGGATCTTCCTGGAGAGGAGGAAGGCAGGGATCGGGTCCAGGTTCCATGCAGCAAGCAGCCAGGGATGCTGAGATTGTAGCATGAGGACTGCCCGGCTTCAGCATCTTCTCCAAGCAAACACACGTGTAGTGTCCGGGTGTGCCTGGGTGCGTCTCCATCCTTCTCCAGCCATGTGTCACTGAGTGGGATCATGCTGTGTGCCATGGGGTGGAGCACCCCCACGGGGTGTGTTTTTGTCACTGGGCGTGTCTGTGTGTGTGTGGTTGGGAGTCTCTGGGTGTGTCTGTTGGGCTGCATTAGTGTGGTGCCAGACATGCCTATCCGTGGGTATCTCATTTCCCTGTGGCTGGCGGGTCCATAGTCCTGAATGCCACAGGACACGGGGAGGCAAGGAGTTGTGTCTGAGCATTTCTCTGTGAGTAGGGACCATGCGGTGAGTCACCACGTCACAACTTCCCTTTGTGCTTGGTGTCCTGTGGTTGCCATGCATGGGAGCTTTTAAGGTCCCAGGACATGGTGTGTAGCCCCGTGTGTCTTTTTGTCACTGTGTGTTCCTATTTGGATCTCTGTGTCGCACACAACATTCCATTCGCATATCACGTTCACTGTGTGCCTTTGTTTTGTCTCTTGTGTGTATATGAGTGAGTGTGTGTGTGCTCTGTGTCAGAGTGGAGTGTGCAGGGCATATGTGTGTGTGTGTGTGTGTGTGTGAGAGAGAGAGAGAGAGAGAGAGAGAGAGAGAGAGAGAGAGAGGGTGTGTATGTGTTGGAGTAGAGAGGTGCCAGTGTACGTGTCTGTGTGTGAGCGAGAGTGTGTAAGTGTATGAGTACGTGTGTGTGTGTGTTCTGTGGAGTGTGTAGAGAGTGCAGGGTGTGGGTGTGTCTGAGTGTGAGAATATATGTGTGTGTATTCTGTGTTGGAGTAGTGGGTGCTGGGTGTGTGTGTGTCTGTGTGTGGGTGTGTGTGTGTTCTGTGTTGGACTGGAGTATGCAGAATGTGTGTGTGTGTGTGTGTGTGTGTGTGTGTGTGTGGTGTCTGTGGAGTGGGCTATGCAGGTGTCTGGTGGTCAGAGGCTGATGCCAGGTATCATCCTCAGTTGTGCACCTTCTGTCTGTTTGCAGTGTGCGTGCATGGTGCATTCAAGGCGGTCAGACAACCACCTGCAGAAGTCTGCGCTCTTCTTCCACCATGCGGGTTCTGGGAACTGAACCCAGATCACCAGGGTTTGCAGTTGGTGCCCTTACACCCCATGAACCAGCTCACTAGCCCTGCACCTCCTTCTGTTGTTGTTGTTGTTGTCCCTGGGTCTCTCATATCTCCAGGAGTTTGTTGACTCAGCTAAGATGGTTTCAGGGATCCATCCAACTGCACCACCTCCCCACTCAAGGCTGGGGTTACAGATGTGTGCCTGGGTACCTAGGCACACATTTTAAATAGTAATTATAAATAGTAATTTTAAAATTACTTATTTTATTCTAGTCTGTGTGTGTGTGTGTGTATGTGTGTGGTGTATGCCGTGTGTGCAGGTGCCAGTGGAGGTCAGAAGAGGGTGCAAGATTCACTGGAGTTAAGGCTATTGTGAGCCACGCAGTGCAGATGCTGGAAACTGAACCAGGGTCCTCCACAAGAGCAGCATGGCTCTTGCCTGCTAAGGCATCTCTCCAACCTCTGCACCAGATTTTCACAAATGTGCTGCGGATTCAAACTTAGATCCTCACACTTGTGCACACTCTAACAACTGGCCATCTCCCCAGCCCCATCTATGGGTTTTGTTTGTGTAAATATACATGTAACACAGTGTCTCACTCAGTGAAATGACCTTGTGTCTCGTATCAGGATGCATGTCCATGTTAAGAGTCTCTCTCTTGCCTGTGTGTTGTGGGTGTGTGGCCACACATGTTGGAGTATAGTGTGTGCAAGCACTGTGTGTGACTTTGGATCAATGGTATGCTGATCTGGACGCTGGCATTCATGTGTGTCCAAATCCAGCCCCACCCCCTCCAAAGGCTGTCATCCTGGGCTGTGTCTTGTGTGGCTAGAATGCTATAGAATGTCCAGCTTTGGGGAGAAGCTGCTTGAACCCTTCCATCTGGACTACTCTCTGACAGTAGGGTTATATTATGTAGTGTGCTGGGGCACATGGAGTGTCAGACATGTCAGGGATCACAGTAGGAAGTGTGCGTGTGAGTCCCACGCACAGTGCGTGTTGCTCTATGTTTCCAGTTCTCTAGGCACTCCGTGTCAGCATCTGCCACCCTCAGGTGTTTGCGTGTATTGGGTACAACCCTATGTGTGTCACATCCACACCACTTGGGTATCTGTTAACACATGTATGTTGCACCTGGTGCCTTTTACAAGTCCCTGTGTCCACACCTGATGTGTGTTTGTGTAGCTCTTAGTGCACGTTTCGTGCGGCCGTTGGTGCTTAACTCTTTACATAATAAAATGCGAAGGGGTTTTCCTTGGTTTTGGTTTTGAGTCTCACATAGCTCAGACTGACCTTGAACTCACAGCTGAGGAGGACCTAGAACTGCTGATCCTCCTGCCTTGGGCTCCCTTATGCCAAGGTGCGGGCTCGCACCACTGCCTGCTTTATGCCATGCTGGGGACTGAACCTCAGGGCGTCTTCATGCTGAATGAGAAATCTGCTGACTGCACTCGTCCCTGGCTCTGCTTTAATCTTTTTATTTAAGATATATTTTTATTTATTACGTGTGTGCATATCTATGTGAATGAATGCCACGTGTGTGTGGGTGCCCACAGAAGCCAGAAAAAGGGTGTCTGATCCCCTGAGTTGAAGTTGCAGGTGGTTGCAAGCTGCCGGGTGAGTGCTGAGAACAGAAGTTAGACTTCTCAGAGTTGCACTGGCTCTTAACTGCTGTGCGGTCTCTCCAGCCCCTCCCCCAGGCCCACTTTGAGCAACGTGTGTGACTGACTATATGACTACAACCTTTGGGTGGCCCCGTGTGCCACGGGATGCTTCTGCCCTGCTAAATGCTGGCGTGTGTCACATACAGCATGTGTGTGTGTGGTGTCTGGGTGTGGCTGTGGGTTTCTGAACTTTCGGGAGTTGTGAGTCACTTCTGTGGAGGTTGTGTGGTGTGTCCTGGTGTGTTGGACTCCATCTCCGGTCTGTCGTGGGGTGCTCTGTGGTGTCTGGGTGTGGCGGATTGTAGGTGTGTACCACCGAGTGCAAACGGTTAGGGAGTCACAAACTATTGTGTGTCAGAGTGTGTCTTTGCCCACGTGGATGGACTCTTCTTCCTTGCCTGGGGCCACAAGACACACCCCAACCCCTCCTTAGTCTCAGAAGGGGATGGGATGGGCTGCCTCCCCCTACCCAGGGACCTCCCCGTCTCTCCCCGCCCTGCCCTGCCGCAGTTACCACTCCCCAGAGGGCACAGGGCTAGGCTGTGCCTTCCAGCAAAAGTCCCAGAGTGAACAGAACGGGCCTCCGGCCTGGAAGCCAAGCTGGCTGCCATTTGCGTACTGAGAGGTGGGGGACCCTGGGCAGGAAGCTGGCTGAGCCCCAAGACCTCAGGGACCATGGGCGGGGAGCTGGTGACTGGCCTGGGGGCCCTGCGACGGAGAAAACGCCTACTGGAGCAAGAGAAGAGGGTGGCCGGCTGGGCGCTGGTGCTGGCGGGAACTGGCATCGGGCTCATGGTGCTGCACGCTGAGATGTTGTGGTTCCTGGGTTGCAAGGTGAGTAAAGAGCCCTTCCACAGAGCGGGGGAAGAGAGCTGGGACCCTAGGGTATGAGGGAAGAGAGCTAGGGTTGTAGACCTCTGGGTGTGAGAAAGGAGAGCTAGTCTTATTTAGTCCTGGGTCTAAAGGGGTGGGGGTGGGGGCTCAGGTCTTAAACTTCTTAAGGTTTGAGGGAGGAGGGCTGGGTCTGGACCTCCTGGTTCTGAGGGAGGAGGGAGCTAGGGTTGGACCCCTGGGTGTGAGTGGGAGAGCTGGGGTCTTGCAATCCTGGGTCTGACGGGTCTGACGAAGGAGAGTCTGGACCTGAGACCTGAGTTGTGATACACCTTCCCCAGCCCTCCCTGCATAGAAGGGAGATGGCTCTCAGGGTCAGTCTTTGAGTAAGTGTTGTCAGACTGCTGGGGAGTCAGGGGCCTTGCTGAGGCCCCTGCAAGGCTGACCCTTGATAGCCCAGCTCCGGTGAAGTTATCATTAGGCGGTGGCTCCTTGCTCCTTATCTAGCCGTTTACTTAGTGCTACCAGGCAGGAACCGACAAAGGAAAGGTGGGAAGTGGTGCCTCCACCTCCCCCCCACACCACACAGACGCTTGATTTCCCCCAGAATGCACCTGTTATTCACTTGTCAGTCAGTGGTATGAACTCCTAGTCCCTGGAGAAGAGAAGGCTGGGGGTTCAGACTCAAGAGTCGCAAGAGGAGGAGGCTGGGAGAGTTGTGCCAGGCATGGTGGTGGCACACCTGTGATCCAAGCACTGGGGACGTGAAGGCAAGAGTATCAGAAGTTTAAGGCCAGCCTGGGCTACACAAGACTTTATTGCAAAAAACAAAAAACAAAATTAAAAAAAAACAAAAATTGAAAACAAAATACCGAGAAAACTGAACAACATGGGGAATGGGGAGAGCACATTGGATAGGGCCACCAATCAACCTTTGGAGGACCAGGGAGTACAGGTGTGTCTGGACCGTGCCTTACCAAGCCCCTGGGATACTCCTACCTTGGTCAGGCTTGTGGCATTAGTGGCGTAAGAGAGTGGAGGGCAAGGGTTTGTCTGTGGCCTGAGGGTCAAACACTTGTTCAACAGGAAAGTTGGGGCAGGGGCTGTGGATCTGGTCTTCTGGTGGGAAAGCAGATGGGAAGTTCCTCAGGAGAACCTCTGGGCCCCAGTGCTCAGCCTGCATTTGAGGATTGGGGTTTGGGGGGGCAGCCACTGTGAAGTGATTGGCAGCCACATGGAGGGTCAGGGCAGGCCAGCTTTCTTCAGCCAAGCGGCCAAGGAGAGGGCAGCCACTTCGAGGGGGTGGGGCTGCGGAGAGCCATGCCAACAGGAAACATGGCTGGGGCCTGCCTGGCGCTCCCACGCTCCAGCACCGCGCCCAGGAGGGGAGGTGGGGACCTGGGAGTCCTGGCAGATGAGAAGAAATAGGGGGTCCTTCCTTCCCTGAGATCGGCCCTCACCCTTCTCATCTCATCTGCCCAGGCTCTTTTCTCCAGCTGTGATACCATCAGGGAATTGGTGCAACTCCCTGAACTTCAGTTTCCCCACCTGTTCAGATACATGGCCATAAGCATCCTCCCATTTCTTCCTACCTTTGTTTGTTTGTTTGAGCCAGGACCCCCTGGCAGCTCAGTCTGGCCTTGAACTGGCTGCGCAGCTGAGGACAACCTTGCACTTCTGCTCCTCCTGCCTCTGCTTCCACAAGTACAAGTGCAGGGACCACAGGCGTGCGCCAGCACACTCAGCTTACAGAAAGACAGGGTTGAGCCCAAGAGCTTGTGCGAGCTAGGCAAGCCTCTACCAAATGCACCACATCCCCACCCTACGCTCTCTTCCCATGGCTGCCTGATGGCACTCTCCATCTCAAGCTAGCAAACTTATTTCGACAGAATGAAGACACCTGATGCTCAGGTGTCAAGACTTAGGAAGGGAAAGAGAACTCTTTGGATAAGGTGAAGTGGAGAGGATGGGACAGGGGCACAGGGAGATAAAAAGACACTGAGAGAAAGATGAGCAGAGACAGACCACACGGGAAGGGACAGAGAGATGGAGCCACAAAGATAGAACTCCAGAGTCACTGAGAAACCCCAGCTGGAGAGATACATACCAGAGGGCTATAGAAAGGCCATACAAAAGCGGGATGTTGTGGCGCACGCCCTTAATCCCAGCACTCAGGAGGCAGAGGAAAGCGGATCTCTGTGAGTTCACCCTCACACACATGCACACATCAGGGCCGGACAGTAGCCCTGTCTGTAGAGTGCTTGTTCAACATACAAAAAGCCTTGGGTTCAAATTCTCATCACTGGGCAAATTGGGTGTAATGATGCAGGCCTGGGAGCCAGATCTGTTTCTAGACATCACATGTATACACACATGAGGAACTACTTTCCCTAGGGAAAGGGAAAGAATGTGAGTTTCAAGACCCTCCCTGGAGGGGTGTGTGTGGAGGATAGGGGGCAGATCTGAGACACGGGCTGTCCGCTTGGGACTAGAGGATTCATTTCCCTTGAGGCAGAGGCAGAAGGATGAGGAGTTTGAAGTCCCAGACTAACTAGCAAGTGCAGCACCAGCCAGCGGGGCCCCATGGTACCCTGTCGCGAAACAAAAAATATAATCCTCAGAGAGAGGGAGGGAAGAGACCCCACCCAGGTGGAGAAGTGGAAAGGGGGGGCATTGGAGAAACAAATCCTGCTGTGGGGAAGTGGCTGGTGTCTGATGGGGCAGCAGTGCAGATTGAAAAACTGAACCAAGGGGAGCCTGGGAAGGATAAAGGGGGAGGGGAAGGCTGGGGACAACAGCACCATTGTTCAGGCAGGGGTGGGGGGAGGCCCCCAGGGGCAGGAAACTGGCCCTCTTCCCCTGCTCAGAGGCGGTGTGCTGGCCCAGGCCCAGCCAAGGAAGCTGATAGAGGGCTGGGGAGAAACAGGTGCAGGGTCAAGGAAGGAATCGGGGAACCTCTGCCCTGGAGGGGTGTCTCCGGTAGCCATCGTCCATCTTAGGGACTTCAGCTTTTCTCATCCCCAGCTCTCAAACTCCTTCTTCCCTGGATTTCAATCCCTCCAAGGCATTGCCACACAAAGAGAGAAAGAAAAAACTTCTGGTGGTTTATGTAGGCCCTGAACTTCCGCCCACCCCGTGTGCCTGTGTGCCCTAGGCTTACAGCCAGGGGAAGTGGTGGGAGGGGGGAAGAAGGGGTTCAAGGAGCAAGATTGGATGCCCCTCTGGGAGCTAGGGCTGGGGATCTCAGGGATTTGTTCCCCAGACGAGAGCAGAAAAGGGCATCTCTCTGCTCTGGCAGACTGAGTGACAATCTCACTTTTTCTGGAACTGGGGTTTGGGGGTAAGCCCTGCTTGCTGGAGAGGGAAGGAGCATCCTCGAGTGGGTGGATGTCTTATTCTGGACATCACAAGTATACACAAATGAGGAACTGCTCTTCATAGGGAAAGGGAAAGGGTGTGAGTTTCAAGCACCCCCTCCTACCCTGGGAGAGAGGAGGGTAGAGGGTGATGATCTGGGACGTGGCTGTCTGGTTGGGGACGGGGTGAGGCAGGGTTTTGCTATTTAAGCCCAGGTAGATGCAGACGCCCTCCTTTCTCAACTTTCTGAGGGCTGTGACTATAAGCGTGACCATCACACTAAACACAAGAACAGTGTTTGAGACATCCTGTTAGGAGAGACTGATTTGGGGGCCAGAACAGAGGGGAATGGGGATGGATGGACCAGAAGCACGACTCACTATCTCTTGTCCTCCCACAGTGGGTGCTGTACCTGCTCTTAGTGAAGTGCTTGATCACCCTGTCCACTGTCTTCCTACTCTGCCTCATTGTGGCCTTCCATGCCAAGGAGGTCCAGGTAAGTAGGGTTCTACCCCTCAGCTTGGCTCCCTATGTATTCTATCTCCTTTTCCTGCCCTGAAATGCATGTGTCTATGCCCTTGCCCGCTGGGATGGAGTGAAGCACAGACAGACAGAAAGATTCTGCTGGGATATCTGATCTATGCCCCCGTGCTTCTTGCCCACTTAGGGATGACGATCCTGTCTGCCATTCCAGGTCCCAAGACCCCTTGTTTTGTTTTGTTTTGTTCTTTTATTATTTTTTTGTGCTGGAGGTTGAAGTAAGGACCTTGCACGTGTTGATAAATAAGCCAAGTCCCCAGCCCCTCACTGGGGGATTCTAGGCAGGGACTCTACCACTGAGCCATACCCTCAGCTCCTCACTGAGGGTTCTAGGGGCTCTACCTCTGCGTTTCATTCCGAACTTTTCTATAACTGTTATTAGTGAGAATAATAGTATATGCTTAAAAATTTTTAACATATTTATTTATAGGGACCCACATGGGAAGTTAGAAGATAGTTTATGCAAATCAGTTCTCTCCTTCTACCTTGAAGGTTTTGGGGATCAAACTTGGGTCATAGGGTTTAGAAGTAAAGGACTTGGCTTGCTGAGCCATTACACAGGCCCCAAAAGAATGTGTACTTTTAACCGAGTGCCTCCCTGAGTGTTACTGTACATGACTAAGAGACACTATTTTCCTTTGTTGTGGGGCACCAGGATCTGGGGAAATGGGAATGGAATTATATCTCAGAGAGATCAGAGTTCAAGGATGGCTAAGAAGAGTTGCTGAGCCTGGAGGGGGAAAAATCGCACAGAAGTGGAGACTTTAGGGTCTGGCACTATATGGGATGTTGTGTTAGGTGTCTTGGGATTGTAATAGGTGGGATACAGCACGATAGGACAGAGATCCAGACGTGTGGCTCAATGGTAGAGCCCCTGCCTAGAATCCCCAGTGAGGACTGGGGGAGAGGTTCCATGATAAAGTACTTGTCAAGCATGCTGAAGTTGTTCATACCCTGGGCCCACCATTCCATTGACCTGTTGTGAGACCCAGGCCTCAGTTTCCAGATTGTTAGATTGGAAGTGTAGTGCATGAATCTCACTCTGTGTTTGGGAGCATTATTGAGACCTGTACAGGAGTCAGAGCAATCCTGGGGCATCCGGAGTGCTGCTTAAATGGAACTAGGCAGCACCCTCTTGTCCCAGCACTTGGGAGTCAGAGGCAGGAGGATCACAAATTCGAAGGCAGCCTTGGCTATAAATTACGTGTGTGTGTGTGTGTGTGTGTGTGTGTGTGTGTGTGTGTGTGTGATATGTGGGTGCGTGCGTACATATGGAAGTTACAGCACTTTATGCGGTCAGTGCTCTCCTTCAACAGTGGGTCCTAGGGATGGAACTCGGAGTCACGCTTGGTGGCAAGTGCCTTTACTCATTAAGCCATCCCACGGGCCTGACTATTATTTCCTCCAGTGGCCTTACTCCAGAGCCATAGTGAAGAGAGCCCCCAGGAGTGGAAACTAAGCCCTGGGAGGGAGACGGTTCTGGTTCTGTCTCATTCACTACACATTCGTAGTGTCTGGAAGTTGTCACTGCACACAATAGGCACTTAATTCGTGTAGAAGGAGCACACCTTCTGCAAGTGGGCCTCAACTAGCCAGGAGAATTTGAAAGTGAAGAAAGTGGAGAGACAGCTTGCTGGGTTCCCGACGCCTGCCCTCCCCCCCCCCCCCCCAGCCCCACGCCCTGCGCAGCTATCTCTATCCTTTCCAGGCCCAGGGCGTCGCCCATATCTTATCTCGGGGCGCAGGCCGGGTGTGCCACCGTTTGTCCTGCACCTGACCCTCTCTCTTCCCCTGTCTGCCCCTTCCCGGCAGCTGTTCATGACCGACAACGGGCTCCGGGATTGGCGGGTGGCACTAACCCGGCGGCAGGTGGCGCAGATCCTGCTGGAGCTGCTGGTGTGCGGGGTGCACCCGGTGCCCCTGAGGAGCCCGCACTGCGTTCTGTCCGGGGAGGCCACCGACGCGCAGCCCTGGCCGAGCTTCCTGGGCGAAGGGGAGGCGCTGCTGTCTCTGGCCATGCTGCTCCGTCTCTACCTGGTGCCCCGTGCGGTGCTGCTGCGCAGCGGCGTCCTCCTCAACGCCTCCTACCGCAGCATCGGGGCGCTGAACCAAGTTCGTTTCCGCCACTGGTTCGTGGCCAAGCTCTACATGAACACGCACCCGGGTCGCCTGCTACTGGGCCTCACGCTCGGCCTGTGGCTCACCACAGCTTGGGTGCTGTCTGTGGCTGAGAGGTGAGAGGCCTGGAAAACGGAGGGGACATCAGGGCCTGCTGAGTATGGTGGTGCAGGCTGCAAGGCTGTGAGCCAGCCAACATCAGCAGGGCAGGCTCACACTTACCTTACCGTCCGTCCTTCTTGGCTGAGAAATCCCACGCCCTCAATAGGTTGTTCCCAACCAATCCTCTGGGCCACCTATAACACACACACACACACACACACACACACACACACACACACACACAGACACACACAGCCCCTAGGCAACCCCATCCTCTGGTTCCCATGCTGAGTCCAGATTAAGACTCTGTAATAGGGCCAATCCTAAGTAAGCACCTTGTTGAAAGGGAACAGCTTTTCCAAATTAGCAGGTACAGTAAGTGCTTGCTGTGACTAGAAAGCAGACATTTGGAACCACTTTGCAGAGGATTTCCCTGTAGTCCCTAGCTGTTGCTTAGCAACTGTAAATAGATGGGGGCTCGGACTGGATCCCCACAGATCCTCACTGTCTCCCTTACAGAGAAATTCAGCCTGTGGTGTGTGTGAGAGCTGGCAACAGGGCCTTGCGGCAAAGGCGGGTTTCCAACCTAACAAAGCTCTAAACCTTTGGAGCTCCAGCTCCCCACCCTGGGGCCTCAGCCTCCTGAACGCTGGGGCTGCAGGTGTGCGCCATCATGTCCTGTTCCGGACAAGCCTTTTCTTTTCTTTCCTTTTCTTTCCTTCCTTTTCTTTTCTTTTCTTTTCTTTGAGAGGTCAATCACAAACTGTGCATGGTAGCACACTCTTGAGGCAGAGGCAGCGGATCTCTGTGAGTTTGAGGCCAACCTGGTCTAACAAGCGAGCTCTAGGACAGCCAGAGCTACATAGAAAAACCCTGTCTCAACAAACAAACAGACAACAAAAGCGAGATCAATCATTTTGATCCTGATCTATTACTTGAAGGCCATGTAGCCTCTTTGTGGGTGTTAGATAGAGGTGTTCCTTCCTCTAGATAGAGCCTGGCTACTGAACTTCAGGCTGGGTCTTCGGGTTCAGGTCTCACCCACACACACTGGATCTAGCAACCTTGGTTGTCTAGCTGAGCTCAAACAGGCTCCAGATCAGCGGCTGTCGGCTTTTCCAACACTTCCACCCTTTAGGTGAACCCACAGTCATAAAATTATTTTTATTGCTAATTTCATAACTGTAGTTATGCTACAGTTATATGTTATGTGTCATAATGTAAATATCTGATATATAGGATATCTGATAAGCGACTCCCAAGAAAGGGGTCATGACTCACAGGTTGAGAGCCACAGCCATAGTGCTAGATTTGGATTCTAGACCTGGATTTCTGCAACCCAGAGTGGTTGAACATCTGAGTCAGCTCACATGGCAGAGAAAAAGACCTGCATTTTTGGCTTTCTATCCAGGTGCCTCTTTGGATTAAGAGTGGGGAGGTAGGAACGGGAGCACCAGCACCCCCAGGCTGGGGTCTCAGAACTAAGTTCCCTTTGCCCATAGGCAGGCCGTCAATGCCACCGGGCACCTCACAGATACGTTGTGGCTGATACCCATCACATTCCTGACCATCGGCTATGGGGACGTGGTACCTGGCACCATATGGGGCAAGATCGTCTGCTTGTGCACTGGAGTCATGGTGAGTGCCACCCCCACCCCCTCACCCTGCCTGCTGCTTAACCTCATGGCTGGGGGAACCATGGACCAACACAGGCCCTCCCTGATGTCCCTGAGGAATGTGGGTGTCTGACCCCCCCACACAGCTTCATTCTTTATTCAAGACCCAGATACCCAGAACCATTGTGTTCTCTTCATCCTCCTCCTCTCCCTCTCCCACTTATCCTCTTCCTCCCTTAAGTTAGGGGTTTGCTAAGTATCCCAGGCTAGCCTCAACCTCCCTATATACCCCAGGCTGGCCTCAAACCCTCAGTCCTCCTGCTTCAGCCTTCAGCATGCTGGATCCTAAATACTAAAAACCCATTTTCTCTTGGGACAGTTGCCCTTTACTCCTTCCTAGAACCCAGGCCCCAATTCCCAGGCTTTTCTTCCTGAGAAGAAGGGATCCAGCCTCCTGTCCTCCCCTTGGGCATAGAGTCATCATTTGGAGTATGTTTTGGGTACCAGCATTCATAGATTCAAACCCCACTTTGCTCCTTGCCAATTGGGAGCTCAAGCAAACCGCGTAATGTTTCTGGGCCTCAGTGTTCCCATCTGTAAAGTTGGTGGGTCCCAGTCCCAGCATCCTCCTGTGGGATTGTTGAGCGGTAAATGAAGAACATCATATCAAAAGCTCAAAACAGGAAATATTCAGTAAATGCCGTGAGGGGAGATGATGGTGGTGTGTGTGTGGGAGATGACGGTTGAGGGGGTGGGGGATGACGGTTGAGAGGGTAGGAGAGATGACGGTTGAGAGGGTAGGAGAGATGACGGTTGCTATGACCAATCCTACACATCTGTTCTGACCCCAGCTCCTGAGCTCTCCTTGAGGAAGCAGGGGTTGGAGGACCGTTGCTTTAACGGATCCCCACTGTTTGGCTGCCCCATCAGGCCGAGGCTGAAGCTCCTAGCCCCAGGCTGTTTCCTCCCTACAGTTGCCCTCCTTACCACAGACCTTCCCCCAAACCAGTTCCTCTCACCCAGCCCCTTCCTTCAGGGCCCAGCTCCCAGCTCCGATGCTGCCCCAGGACGTGCTGAGTCCATGGGTGACCAATGGTGTGGCAGGCAAGTGCAACACCCAAACTGTAGTGAGTGTTTGGGTCAAAGGAAAGCCCAGAAGGATATTCCCAAGGAGAGGGACCCTCAGGACTATATCATTTGACCAAAAACTGAAACTATGTGAAATGAGATGACTAGACACCACCATTTGCAAATAATATTTCATTATTTATTTGGGAGGGCTTGCTTGTCGGCATTCATGTCGAGGGGGTGGGGTTTTCTCCTTCCGCCAGAAGGGTTCCAGGATTCAGACTCAGATCATCAGGCCTAGAGGCAAGTGCCTTTTACCCTCTGAACCATCTTGATGCCCCTTTTTTTGTTTGTTTTTTTTTTCTTTTTTTGGGAGGGAGTGAACAAAGGGCTCATGTAGCCCACCCACGCTGGCCTCAAAGGTGCCATGTAACAGGCTGATCCTCCTGCCTCAGTGCTTTCCCTTCTTTCCTCTGGCACTGGGTACACAGGTGTGTGTCACAGAGCCCGGCCCTGTAGCAGACTGGTCCCCTGCCAGTTTCTGCTCTGACGCTTTGCAGGTGGCAGCTGGTGGCATTTACACAACCTCCCCTCTTCAAATTAGTTGTCTAAGGAAAGAGTCATTCGAGCTGTGGGGCGGTGATGAGTGAGGTATGCCTGTGATTCCAGAACCAGAGAGGCACAGACTGGAGGACTGATGCAGCTTTGTGGGTAGCCTGGGCTACATAGAGTGACTGCACCCCCAAATAAACAGGGCTGGGAATCTGGCTTGTCCAGCATGCATGAAGACCTGGGTTAGGTCCCCAGTACTGTATTAACTGGGCACAGTGAGAGTGCCTGTAATTCCAACACTTTGGAGTTGGAGGCAGGAGGATCGGAACTTTGTGGTCATCCTTGGTTATACAGTGAATTAATTGAAGGCCAGCCTGAAAGGCAGTTCTGATGATGGTGGAATGGCGACGGTTGTACCTGCTCTCTGTGACTGTGAGATGACAGAAGGGAGCTGGTGACGTATGCCTGACCCTCCGAGTCCCACAGCCTCACACGCCTTGCTTGGTGTACTCACAGGGGGTCTGTTGCACTGCCTTGCTAGTGGCTGTGGTGGCCCGGAAGCTGGAGTTTAACAAGGCGGAAAAACACGTGCACAACTTCATGATGGATATTCATTATGCCAAAGAGGTGAGGCTGGGTACTGGGCACTATGACCGGGGCTGTAACTCAGTTGTTAGAACACTTGCCTAGGGTGCATGAGATCCTGGGTTCAATGCCCAGCACCATATAAATGGCACGGTGGTATAGGCCTGTAATCCCAGGATTCAGAGGATCAGCAGTACAAGGTCATCCTCAGCTGCAGAGTGAGCTCAAGGCCAACTCAGCTACAGGAGACCTGGATTTAAAAAAAGCCAGTTTCCCTTAAAGCTAGGCATACTATGTAAGTAACCCCATGAGGATTAGGCAGTAAAACTGAGGCCAACATGGGCTACATATCAAGACCCTAAAGGAAAAAATCCAGTCCCCCACTCTAAGCCAGGTCTTTCAGATTACAAGGGATCCCTCTCCCTGACACTGTGCCCCTCACCAGATGAAGGAGTCAGCTGCACGCCTCCTGCAGGAAGCCTGGATGTACTACAAGCACACTCGCAGGAAGGACTCCCGAGCTGCCCGGAGGCATCAACGCAAGTTGCTGTCCGCCATCTACACGTGAGGGTCTCTCCAGGTCCCTGTCACCTCTCTGTTGACTCCTGTGTGCATGTCCAGGCCTGTCCACCGGGATCTGATGGGGATTCGGTGTCGGTGATCCTGGATTCCTGGATTTGCTCCTTTCTGCTCTTCCCCTCCTCACCCCTACTCTCTGAGGTAATCAGGGACCAGGGTTGGAACTGAGTCCTCCTCCCCACAGGTTCCGCCAGGTACGGCTGAAACACCGGAAGCTCCGGGAACAAGTGAACTCCATGGTGGATATCTCCAAGGTACCAGACCCTTGAGGTGTGTGGGAGGCCTTGGGAGGCAGAGGCAGGCGGATCTCTAAGTTCAATGGAGGTTTACAGAGTGAGTTCCAGGTCTACACAGAGAAACCCTGTCTTGAAAGAAACAAAAAAACAAAAAAAAAAAAAAAAAAAAAAAAAAAAAAAAAAAAGAAAGGTTAAAAAATATAAATAAAAAAAAAGGGAATCACTGCAGGGGGCTGGAACGCACAGATGTGTGGCAAAGGTTATGGAATGAAGAAAAAAAGCTTCCTACGCACATGTAAGACAACGTTCCCTTTTAGACGTAAGAAAAAAGCACACAAAGAATGCCAATGTTTGGTTTCAAATTATCTTTATTACTTACATGTGGACATATATAAAATTTCCCTCCAGGTGCAATTCTTATTCAAATAAAACCAGGCAGATTTACACAGCTCTCAAACACTGGCAACAAGCCCAACTTAGAAAAGAAATTGACAGTCGCAATGACAAGCGATGACACTGTTGTAGTGAAAGCCAGCTCCCGATGCTGTTGTGAAGTGGGTGCCTGAGGGTAGAATGAGTCCCTGTGCAGCTAAGGCTCAGCTCCCTTGTCCCCACCAGCGATGGTGATGCTGTACCCCTTGGCCTGGCTCATGTTGCTCTTTCCTTATGGCCTTTGCCTTTTGTCATTAGCCCAGCACTACTCAAACAGCCGCCTTTGGCACCAAAGCCATGGTAAACACAAAGACACAGGTCCCCAAACAACATGACACGTTGGAGGAAGGACAGGGTGGCTTGGGTCAGCCAGCATAGGTGGTAGTGATGCAGTGTGAGCACTGAACTGGAGAGTTTCCGCAGCAAGCTCAGAAGGCTGGGGATGCGTGCCTGCCCAGCATGCGAGATGCCCTGGGTTTAGTCCCCAGCCCTCATCCCAGCATTTGGGAGGCAGAGGCAGGAGGATCAGAAATTCAGGGTAATTAGATCTGAGGAGATGGCTCAGCAGTTAAGGGCACTACTTTTCTTGCAGAGGACCCAGGCTGGGTTCCCAGTGCCTGCATGGCAGCTTCCATCTGCCTGTTAACTTCAATAACACAGTAAATTCAATTCCAGCCTGCCTCTCCCCCACAAAAAAAAAAAAAAAGTCTTATGGACCCCCAAGGATCCCCAGGATCCACTCTAGAATAAGGCTGCCTGGGTCTGGAGGCTAGGCAACACCAATTCCACAAATAATTAATAAATCTGAATGAGCACATACTTTATGTTAGGCCTTCTGATGACACCTCCATGCTGTTTCCACTAGAACAGGGTTCCCACCCCTGGGACATGTTTTTTGTTTGGTTGGTTATTTTGAAAGGGGGTCTTCAAATTAACTTGTGTATCCAAGGATGACCTTGAACTCCTGGCCTTCCTATCTCTGCCCGTCCACTTACTGAGTGTGGATTACAGATGTGGATCACTACGCTGGGTTTAAGTGGTGCTGAGGATCAAACTCAGGGTTTTGGGAGTACTGGACAAGAACTCTACCAACTGAGCTGCATTCTACGCCTGCCCCTAGACTTTAGTTTTCTTTAGATTTGTTTTACTTTACGTGTATGATTGTTGTGCCTGTATGTATGAATGTGTATGCCTTGTGCCTCTGGATGCCATCAGATCCCTTGCAACTGGAATTACAGACAGTTGTGAACCACCCAATGTGGGGTGCTGGGAACTAAACCCAGGTTCTCCAACAAAAGCAGCCAGTGCCCTTAACCACTGAGTCGTCTCCCCAGCCCCTGCCACTGTGATTTTTAGGAGACTCTTAAGCCTAACAACAGCAGCTGCCCAAACAGCTAGGGTCTGAGAGGTTCACAGAAGATAAGGTTAGAACAGTGCTCAAGGGCCAGAGAGGGCGTGTCCGCGCTCTGCCGTCTCACCCTGCAGAGTGGACAGGACCTCTCCGACAGGACACCCTCGCTCCAGCATTCCCTTCCCACTCAGATGCACATGATCCTGTGCGACCTGCAGCTGGGTCTCAGCACCTCACACCGGGCCCTGGAGAAGAGAATCGACGGGCTGGCAGGCAAGCTGGATGCCCTGACCGAGCTGCTGGGCACTGCCCTGCAGCAACAGCAGCTACCAGAACCCAGTCAGGAGGCCACGTAGCTGGTAAGGGGGCAGGGACTGGGCCAGGAAAAGCCCTAAGGAAGAGACAGGTCCCTGGTTGCCCGTGTAGAAAGGGTGCTTTCTCTTAAAGCTGTGTCACCTCTTAGGGCTTTTAAGTTCTGGGCTGGACTGAGAAAGGGAGCCATTCCTTCTGTGTTTGTTAGCCTCATTTCTCATTCCATTTTGTGTGTGTGTGGTAGTGGGTGGCACAGGGAATGGAGATGGAACCCAGGGCCTTGTATATTCTAGGCAGATGCCACACCCCCAGCCCTTCACTGGGGGATTCTAGGCAGGGGCTCTACCACTGAGTCACACCCCAGCCCCTCACCTGGCCCTCTCCCTTTCCTTGCTTGGTCTCTGTCCCCATGTCCACTTGTACCTCCCTCTCCTGGACCTTTGCACCTTTCTCTCTTCCCTTGCCTGGCTTCAGACAGCCTCCACCTCTGGCGTCCTTGCCCTGCACTTTCTAACCTACTACCCATACCACCCCTTTGTCTTCAGCACCCATGGAAGAAGAATCAGGCTATGTACCCCAGGACTAACCTCAACCACTTCTGACCGAGTCCCATGAATAAAGCACTTCAAGACGCTAGGATCAAAGCGGGCCCACGGTGAGATGAGTGGACTCTCTGGTGGTAGCGGCTTGGATCTCCAACTGTGATAGGGTCATGGCCACCACTACACACATGCGCTCGTCAGAAGCCTTCGTTCTGTGCTGCTGTTCATGAACTCTCAAGCTCTGTCAGAGGTGAAGGTGCCTAGAGCCAGACTACAGGTTCCTGGAGAGAGAGGCAACTGGTAGCCTGGGGTTCAGGATGCTGGGATCACTGAAGGAACCAGGTCCGAGAGGCAGGAGCCGGTGCCCCCTGGTGGATGCCATGGAAGACGCCACTTTCCCGGAATGCAGAGACGTCTGCTGGGAGGAGGGGTGTGGATGCCTCTCACCTGTCCACTGTCACACTTTGTAATAAATGATAAACAAAGCCAGACGCTGCCATTTCTTTCCAAATACCAGAGTCCTTCAGACCTTCCTGTGGAAGGCAGTTGCCCTGTCCCATGCTCAGTTTTCCCAGCTCTAGAAGAAGCCTGAGCAGGGTATGGTGGCATATACCTCACCAAGTGTTTTGAAAATGGGTCTTCAGCATCTCAGGCTGGCCTCAAACTAACCCATGTAGCCAAGGATGACCTTGAACCCCTGACCTTCCCATCTCTACCTGTCCACTTACTGAGAAGCTGGTATTACAGATGCAAATCACCACACCTGTTATATTTTAGCATCATTCGCTGTCCCTGCTCTGTTTCTGGATCTGTGGTGCACACCTCTAATCCCAGCACTTGGGAGGCAGAGGCAGAAGGTTCTCTTGTGAGTTCAAGGCCAGCCTGGCCTAGAGGTACATAGTGACTACCACAACCCACCCACTACCCACAAATAAATAAATGGAAAACAAACAAAATAAAAATGTTATCCAAGTGTCCTGAAGTGCCCACACCCAGCTTCATAACCCTGTCCAGATCCGAGGCCAGAGCAAGGCAGATGGACATCAAGATTCTGAGTCTACCTTCTACTTGCTGTTGACCTAGGACAGGCAGCTTCATTCACTGCTCTGAAGACTTTTTTAACCACCTGTGAGGTGCTGTGTTTCCATGGAACTGCTGGGATGATCTAAGGGAAAACAGTGCCATGGAAGGCCGGGCCAGCATGTAGTATTGCCCCAAGAGGGAGGGACTGTTTTCACCACAGCTAATAATTTTCACACATGGTATGTGGCTGCCCAGTCCTCGTTGACTTCCACCTATTCATTCATGCCTGACCCTGTCCTAGATGCCAAGTCACACAGAGGGATGAGTAGGCACCCACTGTGCCTGGGTCTCAGGAAGAGAGGAGCAGGTGCTAACAGAGCACCTACTGTGTGTCCAGGTTTTAGACCCTGCTTCTTGCATTTTGTATTGTTTGAGTGTGTGTGTGTGTGTGTGTGTGTGTATTTGTGATTGTGTATGCATGTAGGGGCCACAGGTCAAGCTTGAGTGTCGTCCTTGGGCTCTGGTCTACCTTTCTCTTTTTCTGAGGCAGGGTCTCACTATGTAGTGCTGGCTGTTCTGGAACTTGCTCTGTAGCCCAGGCTGACCTCCAACTCAGAGATCCATCTGCCTCTGCCTCCTGAATGCTGGGATTAAAGGTGTGAGCTGCTAGGTTCGGCCCTTACCTTTCCTTTCTTTCATGTGTTTTTTCTTTTGGGACAAGATTTGTCATTGGTATGGAACACACTACACTGATTCATGGCTGGGAGTGTCACGCACTGACACGTCTGGCTGTTGTCACATGGGTTCTGGGATCCAAGCCTCATGCTTGCTCCACATGCATTGTGCCAACTGAGGCATCTCCCCAGCCCCACTATTTTATTTGAGACAGGGTCTCATTATGTAGCCCTGGCTACCTTGGTACTTTGTAGTCCAGGCTATCCTTGAACTCAATTCTTGCTCAGCCTCCTAAATGGTGGAATTACAGTCATGTGCCACCTCTGGCTAGAACCTTCTTTTGTTTACAAAAACACACTTTGTGTGTTGTATGTGTGTATTTGTGTGGACACTATGGGCACACATGGCAGGTCAGGGGACAACTTACAAGAGTCAGTTATTTCCTTCTTCTATATGAGTCCCAAACTCAGGTCACCGGACTTGGAGACAAGTGCCTTTGCTCCCTTAGCCTCTCTCCAGCTCTCTGCTCTTTAGAAACCCTTAACCCCCACCATCACACATACCTCAGCTTCCCCATTACACAGAACTAGAAACTGAGCTTGCAGAGCACACAGGCCTGATCCGAGGTCCCAGCCAAGGACCACACATCCGGCAGCAGAGCCCAGCTTCCCAGCCAGCCCTCGTGTCCCCTAGCTGGTCTGCCCGCCTGCCCTGCCCCGTGTGAGTCAGAGCCCAGTGGCCTTGGGCCTGGGACCCAGGCTGCATTCCTGCTACCCAGGCTGATTCATCCTGGCTTGGAAGGGGGAAGCCCAGGCTACGAGTCATTCTGGCTGAGCTATCTTTGGACTTCCCTCCAAGTCCTCTGCTAGTCTCGCCCCTGGGCTAAATTGGAGTGTCCACCACCTACTGTCCTTCCTCTGCATGTCTGCCCACTTGGTGGCTAAGCAGAGGTTCCAGAAACAGGTTGGAGGGGTTCCAAAGATGTCCATCCCCTGCAAGAGGCCCTCAGGTCTATATCCCGTCAACTCGCTCCTATGGGACCACTATTTCCAGATTCCCTTCAGCTGGGAAGCGTCTGCCTACTCCTCCTTTGGTCCTTGGCTCAGATGCCCCTTCCTCCAGGAAGTCTTCCAGGAAGCCATTTCTAGTGACCTGTCCTGTCATCATAATATTGATCAGGCCAAGCACCATGTTAAGCTTTTTATAAAACTTCACTAATGCAAGGAAAGGAGACACGGGGGCGGGGGAGGGTTGAGTTTTCTACATGAGTTAACTGAGTAGTGGACAGACAATAAATCTGCACAGGCTGGAGTTGTAGTGTACTTGCTTAGTGTGTGTCATGCCCTGAGTTTAAATCTTGACACTATACAAAAACAAAAAAAGTCAAAGAAACCTATCCAGAACCATAGCAAAGAGACAGCAGAAGCCAAATGTTAGGGTGCATGCCTTTAATCCCAGAACTTAGATGGGTGAGGAAGGAGGTCATGAGTTCGGGGCCAGCCTGGGCCACAGGGTGAGATTCTGTCTCTTAATAGATAAAGAAATGAGGAGTCATAGGGAAGTGGGACGTGGTCCTGCACCCCACTACTTAGCCAAGAGGTCGCTCAGTCACCATTACATTATATTTTAGCATCTTTCACTTTCCCTGCCGTTTCTGGAATGGCTAGGGATATGGGAACAGAACGATGGTTTCCCCACAGCTCCACAGATGGACTGCCCCTTCACCTGGCCTTCCCAGTCTGTGTACTCTACCATCGCCCAAGGCCACGAGGCCAGAGACCTCACAGCTGCTCTGCTGAAGGTGATGGCCATCACGCTAACTAGCTCTCTGTAACATCTTCAGTACCAAGGATCCCCGCACACCAGCGATCTTAGTAAATGTCCCCAAGGAAAAATATTTTATATATCTGGATAGTCAGAAGCACCCTGCCATCAGAGAACTCAGACTTGGAGGTGGGGGTGAGGAATGCAGCTCAGTGATAAAGTCTTTGCCCGGCATGTAGGAGGTCCTGGGTTCCATTCACAGCAACACACAGACTCTCAGACACACGCATGCACACAAGCACATACACACTCAGACACATGCACTCGTGCACACATGCATGCATGAACACACACACATGTGCACACATGCATGCCCACATACATATACACACACAAACACACATACATACATGTACATCTTTAATGGTTTTGACCAAAACAAAGGCGGAAACACAAGTGAATTTTAGCTGACACTGGGAGCCCCCACAAGAGACCCCTTGTCCTGGGGTAGTTCAGCTCTGTCCCTATTCTCAGGGGGGCTCAGAGCCTGGCTCCCCTCTTCCCTTATCTGTACATCCCCCTTCACCATATCAATGCTTCCTAAAAGCCCCATGCCATGCGGGAGCTGAGCTACGGACGTTGAGTCAGAGGGCGCTGGCCTCCAACAGTCTGGTGAGATGAGTTGGGTTACTTCCCTCTCCTATTTCTGTCTGCACTCCCACGAGGAAATGTGGGGGAACAGGGCACAAAGGGCCAGAGCCCAGTCTCCCTCCTTAATGTATACCATACCCCTCATTGCCCTGAGGACCTTTCTAACATCCAGACTGATTGCACTGTTCCCTGCTCAAAATCCACAGTGGCTTCCAGGGGCTTTCTGTCGAGGGCTAGCTGCAAGGCCTAGCACAGACACTCAATCTCTGCCCCTGACCCCCATTACTTTGCCCTGCTGGGGATTGAACCCAGGACCTTATATGCAGTAGATAGCATACTGGTGCTCTATCTCCACCCTCACTGTTGGATTCAATTTCAGGCAATGCTCTACCAGTTAAGCCATGCTCCCAGCCCCTCACTGGGGAATCTTTTTTCGGGTGTGCACACATGTGCACGTGTGGGTATGCACATGGCATAGCATGTGTGTGGTAGTTGGAGGGCAACTTGTGTGAGTTGGTTCGCCTCTTCTGCCTTGTGGGACACATGGATCAAACCCAGACCAAATGTCAGCACTGGCAGGGAGCACCAGTACCTGCTAAGCCGTCTCACTGGCCCCTTGGTGCACTTGGACACATGCATTCTCATGACTAGTCACCACTCAACCCAAGCAAGGAGTCCTCAGCCCTCTCTCAGCTCTCAGGGCCACTGCAGTTCTCCACCCCGCTGGCTGTCTTTCATGCCATCCCTCCTGGTGCGGTTAACCTGGAAAGAGATCTTGGGGTTCACCTGCTTAGGGCCTAGGAAGTGAGTGGGATTCACAGCTGCTGTGTGTCCTCCAGGGACATTATGCCCACCCAGGGCAGGGGTGTTCCAGGGTGTCAGCCTTCACCTGGAGTTTCTTCAAGGTCTGGCTCTGTTTGCCTTCCCCAGCCCTCCTTCCGTGACTCCCTTACACCACCATTCTCCCCCTCCCTTGCCCTATTGCCTAGAACAACCGCCTCCAGCATTGGTAGCACGATTTATCATCCTCTGTAAACATCCTCACTCCGCTGGCTGTGCAGAGACCTGCTTGGAGTCTATGTACTGGGGAGTCTCTGCCAGCATACCAGAGCCAGGCGGTGATGGGGCAGAGGGAGTGCCAAATGCCAAAACCTTCCTTCCTCTTACCAAACGAGGTGAGCCTTCTGTCCTGTCGGCACCCTCCCTCATTTCCTTGTGGACATACTCCTGAGCTGCACATGGCGGTGCTGGCCTGTCACCCCACATTCCCTGTGCTCAGTGAGCGGAGGCAGGAGGATCAGGTGGACAGACTCCTGAGCTGCACATGGCGGTGCTGGCCTGTCACCCCACATTCCCCGTGCTCAGTGAGCGGAGGC